CCCGCCGGCGAGAACCCCATCGCACTTCGGCTGTGCGCATGCTGTGAGCAACTGCTCGACTGGGACGCCTTTGCGAAGCGGAGGTGGGCAGCACTTGCTACTGTGACCAAACATTAAACCACCGAAGCGGTGGCGCTCGGCTAGTCGAGGTTCAATTGCAATCAAACAAAAGCTCACTCTCATTTGATGTCACACGGGGAAAGCCTACTCTTTACCGCTCTCATTGTCATCGTTCCCCCTCACGAAGCTCCGGCTTTCGACGAGTCTTCTTGTGCGCGCCAGCCTTCTTACCCGGACGCTGCAACACAACTCTTTTGCCCAGCGTAGCAGGTAGGTTTTGACCGCAATCGAAGTCGTCATGCCAGATCTCAAAGCACGTTTTAGCGATTCCTTATACTGACGACGTATCTTGTTGCACAGCCAGCAGTTAGCATCATCAATAGAGCACCGTTTGCAAAAGAAGGTCGTAGCGAATGATATCTTCTTGCAGTCCGCGCGCAGGAGAGCACAGACCTTGCACAACCGCTGTCGGCGTTTCTGAACGCCCGTAACAATCACCCAGTCATTCGATTGCTCGACTGCAGGTGTGAGCTGTAGCTGGGGGCGCTTTCTCTTCTGGCCACTGGGTGGTGGTGTTGCAACAACATCGCCGAAGTCTTCCAACTTCAGCTGGAGCAATTGATTCTGCAGGATCCCATACTATTCTCCCTTTTTTCATTGCTGGCGTCTCGGCAATACGTGCAGACTCCTTGTGCGATGTATATGCATTAACGAGTCCCATATCGACGACGCCCAAGAATAGGCTCTTGTAATACTTCTTGAACTTAGTGGACATCAGCAGCGAGTACGTTTGTAGACGGAGTTGATCGTGCACATCAACTCCGCCCATCCAACGTTGGTAGTCGGTCACAGCTGCCGGCGTAGGAACGGAAATTGTGTAATGGGCTCTGTGTGTGCCCACTACTTCGGCTTACACGTTAGCGCACGTGTATGAGGAAGCGTAGTTTGCTTAAACTTAGATTAACTACACTTACGTCTCGGTAAGTATATAATTACTTGAATAAGCAAGCAAAA